CCCTTCCTCCCCCTCCTCCCGCACCCCCAAAAGCCGCAGCACCCCCAACTCCCGCAGCCGCTCCCGGGCCGCCCCCTCCCAGCCCTGGTTGGCGCGGGGGTTCCGCGGCGAGGGGTGGGGGATCCCCCGCACCGGCACCCCCAGCCCGGCCCCGGCGAGCGCCCGGCGCGCCCTCAGCTCGGCCACTCGCCCCAGGGCCACCACGAGCCGCACCCGCAGCGCCCGCACGACCCCCGCCAGCGCCGCCCCGCACGCCCCCAGCAGCCGCTCCCGCTGCGGCCCCCCCAGCTCCGGGGGGGGAACGTTGCGGCCGCTGCCGGCGAGGAAGAGGAGGGGGCACAGGTTGTGCACGAAGCAGTGGCGGAAGAAGCGCCGCGGGTCCGGGCACAGGCTCCGGATGAGCCCCCAAAAACGGGCGCCGCTCACCTCGGCCCGCGGGCAGCGCAGCCCCAGCACGGGCCGCTTGGGGTGCTCCAGGGGGGGCTTGCGGACCTCCCCCCGCACCCGCAGCCACTCGCGGACGTGCCACGCCTCGCCGAAGGGCACCTGAGGGGCGAGGGGGGGGGGGGGGGGATTTAGGGGGGAAGGGGGGGGACACCCCCCCCCCCCAGAGCAGCTCCTTCGGAGGTGGGGTGGACTGGGACACACCCCCCCCCATCCCGGGCACCCCCGAGCCCCTCCAGTGCATCGGCTGCCCTCATTTGGGGCCCCCATGGGATGGACTGGGACCCCTGAGCCCCCATGGGGTGAATTGGGACCCCTAGAGCCCCCATGGGGTGGACTGGGACCCCCTGAGCCCCCATGGGGTGGACTGCGACCCCTGAGCCCCCATGGGGTGGACTGGGACCCCCTGAGCCCCCATGGGGTGGACTGGGACCCCCTGAGCCCCCATGGGGTGGACTGGGACCCTCTGAGCTCCCATGGGATGGACTGGGACCCCCAGAGCTGCCACGGGGAATATTGGGACCCTCTGGGCACCTCCCAGTGCCTCAGTTTCCCTCCTTTGAGACCCCACGGGATGGATTGGGACCCCCTGAGCCCCCATGGGGTGAA